CATCATATGTCATTTAAGATCCACTTATTAAGACTTATTAGAAGAGAAAGTCTTGAGTAGGAATTTTCCACAGCCAGTTCTATGTGCCTCTAAGCAAGCATCTTGTATTGATACATCTAATTGTATCTGAACTTTTAAAATCCCCTTTTGGTGACAACAGTGGTCCCGGTGTCGGTGATGACATTTTGCATTGCCCTGACTGCAATTGCTGAAAATTGATAGTACTTGTCCTTTTGAAGGAAGAAATATACAAAAAAAAAAAAAAAATGAGCATAATATTTTTTTAAAAAAAACACCTCCTAACCTTCCATGGGGAAAATCATTGGAAATGCTTTCAACCATAGATTTTTCTATGCAACTGTTGAAATGGTACAAAATATTGCAGAAATGGATAGTCAATTAAATATGAGCCAGCAGTGTGCTACAGCTGCCAAAAAAGCCAACACAGTTCTAGGCTGCATAAATAGAGGGATAGAATCAAGATCACGAGAAGTGTTAATACCACTTTATAATGCCTTGGTAAGGTCACAGTTAAAATACTGCATCCAGTTTTGGTTGCCACGATGTAAAAAAGATGTTGAGACTCTAGAAAGAGTGCAGAAGAGAGCAAAAAAGATGATTAGGGGACTGGAGGCTAAAACATAAAGAATGGTTGCTGGAATTGGGTATGTCTAATTTAATGAAAAGAAGGACTGGGGCGACATGATACCAGTGTTCCAATATATCAGGGGTTGCCATGAAAAAGATGGAATCAAGCTATTCTCCAAAGCACCTGAAGTCATGACAAGAAGCAATGGAAACTAATCAAGGAGAGAAGCAACCTAGAATTAAGAAAAAAATTCCTGACAGAACAATTAACTAGTGGAACAACTTGCCTCCAGAAGTTGTGAATTCTCCAACACTGGAAGTTTTTAAGTAGAGATTGTACAACCATTTGTCTGAAATGATATAGCAGGGGGTTGGACTAGAAGACCTCCAAGGTCCCTTACAACTCTGTTATTCTATTCTATTCTAAATATATAGTCTGAAAATAAGCATTTTTTGCAAATCAGTGCTAAATACAAATTACCTTGGTTTCTTTAAAAAGGGAGTGGGAAATGAAATTATTGTTCATCTTTAAATATAGCATTTGGAAGGAAAAAGCAATGTGAAGGTAGAAACCTACACATATGAAAGAAGTTGGATCAGATAATGTTTTTCTAATCCATGTGCTCCAAGTGTAGGAATTGAATATATCATTTAATCCTTAAGTAAATTTTATAGAAATGTGTATATTTTAGAGTAGTATTCAAAAAAGTACATGAGAAACATTGCATGTAGCCTGCATAAGAAAAGTGTCTATTATTAAATTGCATCCCTGAACTCCATTCAAGCAAATCCTGTTTATAAAGTGAAGCCACAAAACCAAGCAACTGTTGTTATTGTTATGGTTATCTGGACATTGCTTTGCATTTATTAACATAATTATTTTCATTTTATGCCTGTTAAAAATATTCACCTGTGGCATCAGTTTTGTCAAGCATTTCAAATTAATTTCCAGAGGATATTAGAGACACTGTTCATTCATGCTGAACTATTATCCTGGGCTTGACCTGTAAGACATACCTATTTCTTTACAGACAAAAAAAAACATGTTCTTTCCACATGTAATAATTTATTAGTTTCCCTTCTTTTTATGTCTTCCACTGGAATTGCCTTATTTGAAATAAGTTAACCAGCTAAATTTGCTGCCATTTCAACTTACATGCTACATAGTTCATATGGAAACAGTAGAGACCTGCCCTGTTTTTTTGCCACCAGTTAAATTTGGGGATGCATAATTTCTCATCCGCCCAAAAATAAAGTCTTGAAGTCACTTACGTGTTGCTTCATGTAAGCAGTCTGTCACATTTTGATTTCTATAATCACATTTTACCTTTGCACTGCATTCCATATATACAAATAAACATTTCCTACTCAGCTAGTTACGATAAACATCAAAATAAGGAATAGCATACAAATATTTTCTCAAAGCAAGAAGTCCTTCTAAAAAAAGACATAAAATGGGGGAAAAAATTACAGCGTTGCTGTGAGCATGTGGTTTTCTCCTCCACTCGCCTCAAAAAGCAGCACCTTTCTCTTACTTCAGGATACAGTAAAGTGGGAGGTAAAGGACCATGAATACCTAAACCAGTTAGAAGGAATAAAAATAATGATGGTCGATGGATTTTGCCTATCGCCTCTCCATAACAGTTGTCTTTTAAAATATTGTCTTTTACATTGTTTTTTCTTCAAACTTTTCTTCTGGTGTTTTCCTTGATTTTTTTACTTGGTTGTTACACTGAAATGATTTGGGGATTTTATAAAATGCTGTTAGAATTTGGCATTAAAAGACAAAATAAAATATGATATTACTTTATCTCATCATAATAATATAAATAAGAAATTGTCAGCTAAAAACAGGACTTTGGAACTTCCTGTGCTATCTCATTTAACAGAGAGCAAATGTGGGACAGTGCTTAGCATATCAGAGAAAATCCAACTCCATGTTTTGTCATGGAGCTTGATGAAAGTGGACAGTCGTATTCCTAGGGATACAATGCAGTGGAGAAATGTGTTGCAGTCTTGCAATAAAAAGAAAGTGAAGATAAGTGTATGTCTGAGGAATCCTTTTTTGCAGAGAAGGAAGTTGTTAAAAGGAATGTGTGTGGTGGTGTTTCTGCTTATCTTCCATCATTTCTTTCCAAAGAGAAATAAAAGGCTGCATAAAGGAGATAAAATAATAATAGCAATAGTATTATTGGGTGCTGGGAGATGATGATGATGATGAGGAGGAGGAGGAGGAGGAGGAGGAGGAGGAGGAGGAGGAGGAGGAGGAGGAGGATTATTTTTGGGGGAAAAAACACTGGGCTCCCATATTATGCTAAACCATAAGTGGTTGGTTGCTTTAGGCCCTAATTTAATATGAAAATAGGGACACCTGTTTTATGAATAAAGCATAATTTGAAACCCTAATTTATTATTAATTGATTGCAATTGTGGCATTTCATTATTTATCAGTAGACATGCATAGTTCACTCCTGGCTTAGTTTACACCTTTAAGCACCTGTAAACCTAGACAGAAAAGCAGGTAAAAGTAAGATAAGACACCCTGGAGCAGAGCAAGGCAAACCACCCAAACACTCTAATTTGCCATGTTATGATACACATTTGCAATATTCAGGTTGCATTGAGTGGTATTCCTAGGTACACTTTAAAAATTGTGAAATAAATGCAAAAAATATTGTATGAGTATTTTGTCTGGATGCAATTTGTGAATGTTTTTGTCAGAACCCTTAGGATGCATCTGACGCTCCCATCTGTTTCTCCAGCTGTACTGAAAGAAAAATTGCCTTGAGCCACTACCCCAATTGATTGGCAGATAAAATAGTGCAGATGTCCCAATTGAAGAAGCTCTTCTGCCAGCAAATAATTGCACGTTGACTCGAATTTAAAGAAAATAAGGCTAGCTATGGGTCCCTCCACCAACTGACCGGAATGAAGCACAAAATCTTTGTACCTCATGCTTATAGAAGTTATTTCAGTCAGCTTTGATACACAATGTCTTGTAATGTTTTAATTTAATAGAGGCTTGGGTGGTCTTTTAAGGCCTATGAGTATATTTGCAATGCTAAAGACAGATCATATAGTATCTCACAAAATAGTTGTCATGGAAGTTTGTCTCTTCATGTGATGGGTACCATGATGCATATTGTCAACCACAAAAGAATTGTGTTTACAAGACAGTAAGCAAGTGAAGCTACTCCCTACTACCACTTCTAGTTCCCCAAGATTCTCCTGTCTATCCTACTTTGTTTTTTGGGCGTATAGTCACAAAGCAACTAGGCTGCATTTTGACTTTCTGAGAAGGTTTAAGAGGTTTACTTAACTATAGTTAAGGGCATCTTTTCTCAGTAAAGATGTTGTTGTTTTGCAGCCTGCTTGCTTCACATTTATTTTTTAGATTATTAGCCAAGTGAGTCTGGCACCAAAGGAGGTATATCAAAATATCACACTACTTACTGCTGCTTGTATTTTATAGGATTTTTTTTAAAAGAAAGTTTTAAATCAGAGGTTCCCAAACTTTCTCAGTTCATGGCACCCTAAGTGCCTCAGTAATTGTTTCACAGCACCTGTAGGCTAAAACTGTGAGCTACTGCTGTGTTTTTCTCACAAACTAAAAATATCCCATGGAGCCCTGAAGGCTGCAGTGCAAAGATCAAGAACTGTGGACTTTAAATGATTGTTGAGAGAATATTTGGTATTCTTTAGATATAAACACTTCTGGCAAGGCACTGCCCTAATTTGGCAAAATTGAAAGCTTAGAAATAAGGAAACTGCTCAGGACACTGAGAAGAATTAGCCAAAATATGACATATCAGAGGTTTTTGAGGAAGGAATGGGAAATCTACATTGTGCTACAAACTTCCATTCCTCTGCTGGGATTTCTTCTAACTTTCTTCCACCCTGCAACTCCTTTATATGTTTTCAAAATCTGCTCTAGAAGATTGGGGGACATTCAGGGCCAGATTTTGAGGTCAAGTGTGGAAGGTATATTACATAATTGTGATGGATCTATAAAAGCAAACTTAAACAATTACCCTTAAATTGTATCTCTGTCTTGAAAACATTGACCATAAGAATATAAACATGCTCTCACATTAGAAGCTTAAACATGATACTAATAAAGAAAAGCACAGAATATTTTTCTGAAGGTCCTCTATAAATATTACAGTGCAGTTGTACATGCCTGACACTGGTACCCGAAAACAATGACTAGAATCAATTTATATGAAACCTGGATGTTTTGAAATGTCAGCTTTCAAGTCTCTATTATATGATTCTTAGTAAGAAATATAACAGGAAAAAGGAGAAATATTAGAGAAAAGACCTTTCATATAATGATTCTTTGTCTGGGGAAAAAACAGCTCAGTAGCTCGTTTTAGAAGGGGAAAATGTTGATTGAACTGTTTTGTACCCAGGCTCAACACTATGAAGAAGAAAAAAGAGCATTAAGCCACGAAATAATAGCCCTCAATAACCATTTGATAGAAGCCAAGGTGACAATCGATAAATTATCAGAAGATAATGTAAGTATTTTCTCTACTACAGTACATAGAAAAATGAAGGTAAAATTATGACATAGGATAGAAATATAATGTTGCAAGTAATGTTGGTATTCTTTTGTTATCTTCAGCTATTAACTACAGATAGTCCTTGTTTAGGGACTACTACGTTTAGCAACAATTTGCAATTACAACATGATGAAAAAGTAACCTTACAGCCAATTCTTGCATTTACAACCTTTTCAGTCTTTCAGTCTAAAGGAAAGGAAAGCTGAAGTAAAATCATAAGTACAGTTACAGTTTCACTGAGAAATTTCTTAGCTAAATGACCAAATTGTTGGTCTCTAAATTGTGGTCACTAGATAAGGACTATTTGTACTCCACTTATGTACAGAACACTTATTTTATTATTAAAGGTTTAGCAAAATATGTTGCTTTTTTTCCCTAACAAATGAGACAATGATCTCAGTATCAAATGGAGCCAGCAACTACTGACATCTTCATTAAATTCTAATTATATGCTATATGCTGGTCTACTGTTCTAAATGTTACTTTTTCTGTCCGAGCTAAAACACATGAGGAAAGGTTGCAGGAATTAGGTATGTTTAGTCTAGTGAAAAGAAGGACTGGGGTGACATGATAGCAGTGTTCCAATATTTGAGGAGCTGCCACAAAGAAGAAGAGGGCAGCCTATTTTCCAAAGCACCAGAAGGCAAGGCAAGAAGCAATGGATGGAAACTAATCAAGGAGAGAAGCAACCTAGAACTAAGGAGACAATGAGAACAATAAACCAGTGGAACAGCTTGCCTTCAGAAGTTGTGGGTGCTTCATCACTTGAGGCTTTTAAAAAGAGACCGGAGAGCCACTTGTCTGGAATGTTATAGGGTTTTCTGCTTCAGCACGGGGTTGGATTAGAAGACCTCCAAGGTCTCTTCCGACTCTGCTATTCTGAAAGCATCCAGCCTCTGATTCAGAACTATCATAGTCTCTGTTTGACAATATTCAGGTTAACTTTCCCTTAAAATAATTTTATGGGATCAGTTAACTTTAACAATGGGTTACCTTCTTCTATACCGGCCACCTGGAGGCCGTGCGGGCCTGGATGGGGAGAAACAGGCTCCAACTCAACCCCTCCAAGACCGAGTGGCTGTGGCTTCCGGCGTCCCGATATAGCCAGCTGACGCCATCGCTGGCTATTGGGGGCGAATCACTCGCCCCCACGGAGAGGGCTCGTAACTTGGGCGTCCTCCTGGACGCACGGCTGTCGTTAGAAGATCATTTGGCGGCCGTGGCGAGGGGGGCTTTTTATCAGGTCCGCCTGATACGCCAGTTGCGCCCCTTTCTAGATCGGGACTCCCTACGCACAGTCACTCAGGCACTCGTCACTTCCCGCCTGGACTACTGCAACGCTCTCTACATGGGGCTCCCCCTGGGGTGCACCCGGAGGCTCCAGCTGGTCCAGAACGCGGCCGCGCGGGGGATTTTGGGGGCGACGAGGCGCTCCCACGTGACACCTCTCCTGCGCGAGCTGCACTGGCTCCCGGTGGTCTTCCGGGTGCGCTTCAAGGTGTTGGTGACCACCTTTAAAGCGCTCCATGGCTTAGGGCCGGGGTACTTACGAGACCGCCTTCTGCCACCAATAGCCTCCCACCGGCCAGTACGCTCCCACAGAGTGGGCCTCCTCAGGGTGCCGTCCGCCAGACAATGTCGGCTGGCGACCCCCAGGGGGAGAGCCTTCTCTGTGGCGGCGCCCGCCCTCTGGAACAACCTCCCCCCAGAGCTACGTACAATAACAGACCTCCGGATTTTTCGTCGGGCCCTAAAAACCCATTTATTTCAACTAGCTGGGCTGGCTTGAGTCAAATTTTAAACGGATTTTAAATTGGAATGTTTTAATTACGGCCAAAATTATTTAATTATTTTAAACAGATTTTAGATTTTGTATGTTTTGTATGTATGTCTTGTTTTTACTTTGGCTGTTCACCGCCCTGAGTCCTACATTGGAGAAGGGCGGTATAGAAATTTAAACAAATAAATAAATAAATAAACAAATATACAGAATTTTAATTGGCAAATATTTAATTAAATGTTTTCCCCAGTGTTCTCATGACTTTCATTTCATCAGTGAAGCCTTCCTTGTTGGTTAGTATCAAGTCAATGATTTGTGCCTTTCTCTACCCTCCGAAGAAGAAAGCCACTAGCAAAAGAAACCAATAATTTCCTCAGAAGACAATGCTTGGCCAAGTTCGTTATCCAACAAATGCTAGGAAAAGTAAAGTCCTCATCACTACCACCCCATGTCTTCTTGAAAGAAGAGTAATTTGCTCCTGGAAAGCATCATCCCCATCTTTTCCTTGATTAGGCAGGTGATAGTGTACTGCTTTTATTCATCCCTCCATATATTTTAACCCAGATGCTTTTTAGAGCATCACCAAATGAATTCATTCACTCCGATTTCTATACAAGCATGGATGCATTTATTTACCATATCATTCCTTTTTACTGCTTTTACTTCTTTGAACTAATTGCATCCTTTCATTGCTATATTCCAATCATGGAGCTTTCTGTTAAATATATATTAAATTATTAAATAACATGTACTATAAAATGCATGAATATTATTAGCCAATCTTTCTGATTTTTTATTTAATGGTTTACTAGGACACGTTTCAATGTTCTTCCTTATTTTTAGTGTACAAGTCATTATCTGATATTGATACTATATATTTTCTTCTCTAATTCCTACAGGATTCAATTTAAGCCGTCCTGATCAAGCTCATTAGTTTTAAGCAAACACATTTTTTTTCAGACCTTCTAAGATATAATCCATCTTGTGCCAAGAAACTTATGATGATCATCAAGTTTATGATCTAGGAAGTCAAATGTAACATAACTTGCACAGCCAGTTATTCCTTGGCAATATTCTTCTTTCTGTTTACAGTCCTTTCCCCCCCTTCCTTCCTAGATGTTCGATGTCCCTAATGATGTAAATTGTAGCACTTTCTTGCAACCTCCACATTGATTAGCAGGAAGTAATAATTGTTAGCAGATTTGTTAACTCATGGAAGTTATTCTGCTGCATTCTGATCCATGCTCTTGCTCCGATGAAATTAAAGTCTAGGCAATACACATTCATTTTAGTTTCTCAGAACTCTGAATCGTGTATGTTCTTCAGTGATCTTCTATCCCATTTCCTGTTCAGCAATATCCTTTTCTCCCTTTGAAGATTGTAACTTATTTCTTTAGTTCCGATGACCCACCATATTTTCAATGTAATATATAGTTCAGTTCTTACTTTGCATTGATCCCCACCAACTCATTATACTCACATTGAATACTGTAATATTTTCTCCATCCTTTTTTCTGAAAAGAAAATGGCATGTCAGAAGAAGCTTTTCATCACCGAGGAATACTTATAGAGATTCTTCAAAGTTCTTTTCTGCTTGAAGAAAATAGTCTACCAAGAGATTAATAAAAAAAGCATGAAACTCTGATTAGCTGTTTGATCAACAATCAAACAGTAGATACAGACATGCAAGACACTATTCTGTATAGTAGGAATTTTGCATGGAGTCCTTTGGGCTCTCTGAGCAACAATCTCAACAACCAAGGACTGAGAGCACCAATGTTCTTGAGTGTTCAATCTTACGCTACATATATTCTCTTCTATTGGAAGAATTTTATGTGAAATGACTCCCTAGTCTGGCAACCCATAGATGAATGTGGATTGCATTTGCCAGGGCTCCTTAGACTAAAATTCATCTGTAATTCTGTTTTCCAAGTTTACATGATTCCACTTGGTTGCCAAGCTCAGATGTGCCTGAAATCTCTTTGATGTGTCAAAATTGTATTAATGAGAGAGAAAGAGTTCCAAGATTCAAATTTTGGACCTCCTCTTCCTATATCTTGGCTGCTCTTTTCTCAGGCTTGAAGTTCTCTGCCATGTGATCTAGCCCTTCTGTACCAATGAGAATCATTGAGCATGAGAATCAGAAATTCTTATTTCATCAACTTCAACCATTTTGTTATTAAGCAATTGTTCGCCCTTAGTCAATGTAAGGGTATAGTTCCCTTCTTACAACCATGGCAGGTTAAATCCATTGCTTTTTCTCTGTACGTTTCTCAGATTTCAGTGGAGACTGAACTTAAAGGCCAGCAATGGCTGGTTCTTTGCATAAGTGATATCTCTGTGCAGAGAACTGCTGGCTCTCAGTTAATTTCTTACAATATTTTCTCAATGTCATGGTAGCTGCAACTTCTAGAAACTGCAGTTTCAACAAACCCAATAAAGATGCCAGAGTTAGGCTGCTATACATTATCATGAATCCATTTATTTTTAGAATGGGATGCTTTGGCAAATACCACAAGAGCCTTCATGCAGAATTCATTTAGATATTCACCAGAGCTTTCATGCACAACTCAAGTTGTTTGTGTGGATATTCTTTGTACATTAGAACACATAGTTAAAGGCAGACAGAAACTGTTCTATGCTCAAGTAACTCATTATTCTTGGCTTCCAAACTATTTTGGTTTCTTCAGGGAAAGCTATTTCCACAAACAGATGACAATCTCAATCTAACCTATAAAATTAAAATAAGAGTATTGCTGTAAGCATAAACCTGCTGAGTGGCAAGGAGTAATTTACATGATGGCGACCAACCCTCTATTGATTGGAGGAATTCAGATGAACCATCTTCATTATATGGTTGTACAGCAAAAGAGCATCTACCACTTATATAATTGGATGGATCCATCATCAAAATGCTCTTATCTTTAGGAGATTTTTCCTTACATTCTGCCAAAACTGCCTTCCTATAATTGTTCTAGCTCTACCAAAATTGAAAGAATGTGCTTCAGAGAACAGGATTCATATGCCAATAACTGGTTTTAATGCTGGTGGTCTTTACTCAGTTGGGACATCTACACCAGTGTCATCATGCCGGGAAGTCACATTAAAGTTATTAGTTGGGTCTGTAGCTATACAGGAGAAACAAAGAGATGATGTTTAAATGATAGACAGAATGCTATTTATATCATATATGAATCATTCTAGAACAGGGGTGTCGAACTCGCGGCATCACGGTGGCATCACGTGACATATCGGGACTTTTTTCCCCTTTGCTAAACCCGGGGGAAGGGGGGACAGCACATGACGCATCCAGGACACGAGTTTGACAGCCCTGCTCTACAAGGTATGAATTTTATCAAAATATCAGGTGACATTGTCTCCAGATTTTTCATGGAAGTACCATTTAAGCCCATTTTATGTGTAAATCAACCCAACATTTTTGGTGATAATAATAAACAATATTTTCAGAGCAAAACCAAGTGTTTTGAATTTTTTTGAATGGAAAAATTCTGAGAGCTACGCTGATTAAAGCAAACAGCATCAGTCTGTACTTTGAGGGCAACATGGAAACACTCAAACTTGATTCAAACGTGGCTCAATATTTTTTTATATTTTTGCTTGTCATGCTTTGTGCATGTGAAGTAAGATCATTTGAACAGCACAATTGTACATATCTGTTCAGCAAAACTCATTGAATTGAATGAGGTTTACTACGCATTAAATGCATGATAGGGGTTATCAGGAAATTCACAAAAGAAAAGTTTTTCATACTGCCATCTCTCTACAGTCACTGAACTCCTAAAGAACCTGCTTAGGAGACTTGTAGAAGCCACTTAAACCAAGTGGAGAATGGCAGAACTGCTGGAAACATGGAGATTTGCTCATAATCGAGCTGGGATGTTGATAATTTCCTGCATTTATAGAAGGGAGTCTTTTGTCCATTTCTTCCTCTGGATCTGGGTTCCCATGTTGCTCAGGAGAATTTAACAGATTAACAGAGTTGGAAGGGACCTTGTAGGTCATCTAGTCCAACCCCCCGTGCCCAAGCAGGAGACCCTACACTATTTCTGACAAATAGCAGTCCAATCTCTTCTTGAAAGTCTCAAGTGATGAAGCTCCCGCAACTTCCAAAGGCAAGCTGTTCCATTGGTTGATTGTTCTCACTGTCAGAAAATGTCTCCTTATTGCCAGATTAAATTTCTCCTTGATCAGTTTCCATCCATTATTCCTTGTCTGGCCTTCAGGTGCTTTGGAAAATAGTTTGACCCCTTCCTCTCTGTGGCAGCCCCTCAAATATTGAAAGACTGCTATCATGTCTCCCCTGGTTCTTCTCTTCACTAGACTAGCCATGCCCAGTTCCTGTAACCATTCTTCATATGTTTTAGTCTCCAGTCCCCTAATCATCCTGGTTGCTCTTCTCTGCACTCTTTCTAGAGTCTCAACATCTTTTCTTTGTGTGGTGACCAAAATTGGACGCAGTACTCTAGGTTTGGTCTTACTAAGGCTTTATAGAGTAGTATTAGTACCTCACTTGAACTTGATTGTACCCCTCTGTTAATGCAATTTAGGATTGCATTGGTTACTGACTTTTCGGGGGGGGGGAATCAGGAGCCAGTAATAATTATAGATGGAAGGATCTGTAAGTCTTAGAATTGGAAGTAGCCTTTTCAGCCATTCATTCCAACTCTCTGCAGAAATGTTCCTTTTGTGTATTTCCTTAATTTAATTTAGGCTCCTCCAAGTAATTGCATTCTTGGACCAAACTGAGATCTTTGTAAATACTGACATTTTACATTGTATCTAAAGAAAGGGAAAAAATGTAAATGTGTTTAATGTGCATGGTTATTTTTCAGCCAAATCAGTTTTCATATGAAAAACCACCATACAAGTGACATTTGAATAGCTCAATAGCTCTGCAGATTGAATTGAAAATATGTCGCAATTAAGGTGCTAGGTTGCTATTATCACCCCTTTCACCAAATTGCCAAAATAAAAAATTCTCATTTTCTTCAGGGGTGAAATGAATGATAATTAGTCTAATAAATATATCTGCCAATTCTGAGAAACAATGGCTGAATCTATCATGGTTGAAGTAGTTCTCCTACATGTGATAACCCACCAGCCACTAACCTATGTAGCTATTAGTCTTGGTCAGTGTAAAATTATTTTTCCCTATAGTGTCAAAAAGTAAATGTAGACTCCAACTACTTTCACATATTCATTTAAGTCCAAATTGGTCAAAATTGGAGTATTCCAAAATGTTTTTATTCCTGTTTCTCTAAATGAGCTAGCCACATGGGTAGTTGCCTGCTCTTGAACAGACCTAACTAAGAACTCATGTGAATGGATAGATCTTCAACCATGATCACCTTTGCATGTGATCATGGTTGAAGACATTTTGCATAAGACATTTTTGAAGATTTGGATTCAATATTTGGAGTGTGCAATTAGAAGGTTCAGTAGCTATAAGAGCTAAATAGACATTAAATGCAGGACTGAAATACTGAGCAGGGCAGAAATATACTTCCTATATCCCTGGGAGTCAATATGTATTCCCACATCTTTCCAGATTGTTGCCATTCAGTTTTATGAGCACCATAAGTAAATGGGGGGGAGGGGACCCTTTGAATTAAAGATTGCCCATATTTTTTGTGATGCAATCATGTATCCAAGTGGCCTTTAATCAGTGTTTCTTTCATTTTTTTTTCAAAATAAGCATTTATAGAGGCAACAAAAATCTTAATCTATAAAAAGAAAAAGAATGAAATTGGATTTGTGGAAATGTCTTTGTTATACTCATTTTGAAAATTGAAATTGCTGGATAGAATAATAACAGGCTTACGTTGACATTCAATTGTGTTTTTATTGCACTGGATAACTATATGTAATATAGCCATGATTGTCTTGGTCAATGGCTGACTTCTATTTATTATTATTCTACTTGGGAGGATGACAATAAATTCACGGAGACTGTTTGTCTCTTTAAAATGAGACATTTGAGAGCATGGACATTGTCCAATACAACCTTCCAGGCTCATGTGAAAGCACCTGGAGTCTGGATTCTAATACAATAAACCTTTTGTTATCACATCATCATTGGGATGAAACTTTAAATTTATTCGGTTCTTTCTCAGATCTCTTATGGCAGCTTTTTGGATGTTGTGGTAGAACTAATAATTTTAAATGTCATTTTATGTTATTTTTCAGGAGCTCTATAGAAAGGATTGCAATTTAGCTGCTCAGCTGCTCCAGTGTAGCAAGAATTACGACAGGGCGCATAAGCTTTCTGAGGTAACATAAATAAATATATCAGTAAAACTCATCAATGTGCTTGCTATCGAGGCCTAATTCTTCTTCGCAAGAACTGTGAGATGGAGACAGCAGGATGGATGCTCTGATGCAGTGCCTAGGCCAGAAATAGGCAGCAGAGGGAGAAGTAACCAAGGAACCCAAGGGCAAGTCCACATTCACTAACTATCATGAGAAGGTCACTAAGATATAATGCCTTGACAGTAACATTCACTTACTGGAATGGAGAAGAGAATCTGGGTGGGATCCTAAATCGAAACAACTGGATGTCAAAATACTAAGGATGAGTGGATATTAATGCAACCATGTTTGAGCCCAATTGCTGCAAGGCCAAAATGCAAGAATGAAGAATGTTCAAGAAGCTCCATGTCTCCTGTACATTATTTTGATTTGCTTATATTGTCGTAAACAAACTTCCATGGATTCTAGGATGCTTATAAATCATAAAAACAATCCAATCACTCAGCTGCACCCCCTTTTAATAGTGTTATATGGTTAAATGGGATTTTTCTTACCAGAAAGTCTGCCGAAAAAGATATCCTGAGTATTACTAGAGTAGAGGCTATCCCAAACTCAACTGCCAAGCTGTAACAGTGTAAATGGTGGGAAATTCAGTATTTTGCCTGCAGCGACAAAATATTTAAGGACATTCTATCCAATAACATACTGTATATCCGCATATCCATTTAGCTATTCTTGTGACCCTCCCAAAAGTATCTAATTCACAAGTTTGGGAGACATGAAGTACTTTCCTAGACTTATCTAAAAATCTAGCTTTGCCCAACTGTACTCCTCTAGATGATTATGGCAATTTTGGATTCTGGAAGTTGGAGCCCTGTCATATGTGGAAAGCATCTGTTCAGTATAGTTCAGCAATTCCTAGAGATCAGCAGTTTTGTCTTTGAACTGGGAACCTGTCAAAGCATCATATGAAATGCCTGGGCACATGTGTATATGTTTATCTGCAGAGGCACAGACATATGCCTATGCATAGACTTAGATATAATTCTGATTTTGGCATTCTTGTGCAAGATCTTGCAACCTCGTGGGATTTCAGTACTTTTTGTTTTGTTTTGTTTTCTTTTATTTTGCTATGGAGCAGCCAGGATGCCTTTTGAGGGTCCTGCAGACATCTCATTGCTGTGCTTGCCTAACCTACTTAACCAGGTCAGTTAAAGACCTAGCAATTACATTTGCACAGTATGCTCATTTGAAATCTAAATTGCAGGGTTTCTTTAAAAAAAAATCCTAATTAAACTTGAAAAGGGAAAGAAAGAAGTAATAAAGGATGAATAAAAACCTTACCGTTAAACTTTCGTGATATGATTTTTAAAAAAAACGCTATGCATTCTTTATATTGGACTCAGTCATGTTTATTTCATGTTTAGTTCAAAAGTCATAGAATTTATTTATTTATTTGTTTATTTGCATCCATTTAAAGAATGCCCAACTGCAGATTACGTTGGGCGTTATACATAATTAAAAGGGGAAAAACAATAAAAAAGAAATGGATGATATGTTTCTGGAAAGTCTAAATACGACAAAACCAACTAAATACCAAACAAAAACTCACAGGGCTCACTCACCATCTTGTCCTAAAGTCAGAGAATATAACCAGGTTTTCAGTATCTTACTGAAATTCATCAGTGTGTAAAGACCTTGGGGTGAATGCTATTCCCAAAGGGTAACACTGCAACAGAGAAAGCACACTGGATGACATCATTTAATCGAGGAATAATGAAAAACATCCATTCTGCCATATTGTACAGGACAGGCAGAAACAATTGTTAATCAGCAGTCTCTCAAATAACCAGGCTTTTAGCCCTGGAGGGCTTTACAGGTGGTAAACAATAGCTTGAATTGTACCCAAAACTCAATTGGCAACCAATGCAGCTCATGGAACAGTGGTTTCCCATGGCATATTGAGGCATGGTCATTGCTGCCCACACTGTCCCATTTTGGAACAATTATAGCAATAGCACTTAGACTTATATACCACTTCACAGTGCTTTCTAGCACTCTCTAAGCGGTTTACAGAGTCAGCCTATTGCCCCCAACAATCTGGGTCCTCGTTTCCCGACTTCGGAAGGATGGAAGGCTGAATCAACCTTGAGCCTGGTGAGATTTGATCTGCCAAACTGCTGGCAGCCGGTGATCAGCATAAGTAGCCTGCAGTACTGCACTCTAACCACTGTGCCACCACAGCTCCTTAGAAGTTATAGCTTCTAAGTGGTTTTCAAGGGCAATGTCATGCTGAATGCATTATAACATTGCAATCATAAGGTGACTAGGACATGAGTGATCATCTGAAGGGCCTTCAAGTTGAGGAGCAAGTGCAACCAATGCACTAGATGGATATGGTGAATACACCAGATTGTGTACCATTCTCAAATGGGGGTTTGCTGCCCCACCCAAGATGAGAGAGGGAAGCTCCCCAGGACCAGAAGGCCTGAATATTCAGTCACTTGGTCATGTCAGAATTGGGCCTAAGACTGTTCCTTCCCATCCAGATTTGCAAAGTCTTCAAATAAAACAAAGCAACACTTGGATGGTCCAGGGACAAGACATACTGTCACACTTCATCAGGAATCATAAACATATTTAGTTTCGCCAAAACTTCTTCAGCTAATGCAGAGCTAATAATACTGCAAAGTGTGTCAAATGTTACACTATAAAAATAAAGAATCCAGCCTCTAGTTCAATCTTTTCCTCAGTCTCTGACTTTTACTCTGCAAAGATGAAAAAATGTTGAAGATTTAACTTAATTTATTTAATGTATCAAATTTATTCATGTACCAAAGCAAATTCATTGATAATCCTTATTCTCCCATTCTGAAAAAAATAGAAGAGCTTTACTCCCCCATTATACTACCAGCCTGAGCCCAGGGGTGAAATCTATTTACCTTCCCTACCAGTTCGGAAGTGCGCGTGCCAAACTACAACACTGCTTTTTTTATATTTTCCATTTTAGTTAAAGGATTGTAATAACAGGTCCTGTGGATTGTGTTAATATCTATTAACTGATGGTGTTGCCTAGTTTGGTAATGAAACATCTTCAAGAAAACAACCAAGCTCAGAGAGCACCAAGGACCCCACAGTTAATAACTATCCAAGGTTGTGTATTAAAAGAAAAGAAACCATGTATATGCCTAGCTATCAATTTTTGTAGAGCTCCTAGAACATTTGGTCACAGTCCACATATGATGACCATGTGCCCTCTTCTGGCATCCAAAATACCTTCTAATTAGACAAGATAAATGTTCTCAACCTTTTTGGATAGGTAGGGGGAATTTAAAATTGCTAAATAAGTACTGTAAATTTAAGTTTTATTTATTTATTTATTTATTGGTTCGATTTATATGCCGCCCTTTTCCAGAGACTCAGGGCAGCTTACAATGCGTTAAGCAATAGCCTTCATACTTTTGTATATACCTGCTTAGTAGGGCTTTCACCCCCCCCCCCAAAGCGGTGTTCTTTTTTATACAAAGTCACCTTATTGCCCCCACAATCCGGGTCCTCATTTTACCTACCTCGAAAGGATGGAAGGCTGAGTCAACCTTGAGCCTGGTGAGATTTGAACTTGCAATAATTGCAGGCAGCTGGTGTTACTTAACAGTGCTTTAGTCTGCTGCGCTACCAAGGCTCTATAAGTTTTGTGTTTTATTGCAACTCTTTCACTCTTTAATAATCCTAAAACCCCTCAAAATCTACAATTTAAGGTATTGTTTTGCACACTGATATAAGTAGCCCTCAACTATGACTGGTCAATTAACAATCAATCAAACTCATGATGGACCACCTCCCCCACCCACCCACCCCACCCCGGCAAAAAAAAGGACTTACAACCCAGTTTCAAAGTTCTGATATCCTCTTCCTGCAGTGACATGACTACATTTCTACATCACTACAACCACCTGGATTTACAGTGTTTGCAGCCCCCTGAGATTCCATCGTTTATGGCTTTTTTCCCCTGAAACCAGTCTTTACTTCTGGTTTTTGGCAAAACTGCCCCATAGTGAGCAATAGGTTCATTTAACAATCACAACATTTGCTTAAATGAGTGTGGCATTCACTTTATGACTTCCATGTTCGCTTTACAACTGCCCCCCCAAAGTCATAAAATTGGGTCTAGTCATGTGGTGATGTGCTGTATGACCATCCCAGCTTACAACACTAATTGTGGGGTTCAATTATCTCAAGGAGCACACATTATCTTTCACAAACATAAGAGGAGGGAGAGGTGCAAAAATATCAATCTTGGCTGATAGGGAAAAAAAAGAATTGATTAGTATCTGGATAAGACACCACAAGGAAATCTCAAAGCGACAAGCTAAATTGGGAATTGCAAAAAGTATCCCAAGAGGGGGGGAAAAACCCACAACCATATTCTTGCCAAGGAAACCATATATACCTATTCATGAAATTACTAGGAGTTAAACATGCTTAAGGGAGATTTTACTTTTCCCCACTCTGCTGAAGTAAGCATCACCAGTGAGATCTAGTACAGCTGTGGAATCTAATCAGAGGGGGGGAAATTGCATCAATAAAATTGTGCATCCCTAGTCAATATCATTTGCTTTTTAACTGTTAGCATAATCACCTGGATAGACATCCTTCACAAATTAATTTTGAAAACAATCCCAAATCACTGCATTATAGCACCATTTTATGTCTATTTGCCAGGCTGGAAGTTTCACTGGGATCTAAGGTGGTGTGTTGGTTTTTTTTTTCCCCCAAGCAAAACTATTTATAGGATTGCAGACTTAGTTTTGTGGACTCACAAAAAAATGAGTATGGGAGTCTTTGCACTTCTGGGCCCTAAATTACCTTTCAGGTTGCATGTTTTGTCACCATCTCTTTCTTCATTACAGCTGAGAAAACGAGAACAGTTGCTTTCATGGCTTCATAGCCTATGAAGGGTATGGTTGCAGTGCATGTGAAATGCATGCTGCTGTGCTGCAGATGTTCATATACCATAAGACTGGGCTTTGGGGGAAGATCAGGGACATTGAGTTATCTTGTAAAAAAAAAAAAGTATGGCCATATCAAAATATTTTTAATTTGCTTTCTTTGCTGAGTGCTGTAACTTGCCTTTATGTTGACAGTGACTGATTATCCAGATGAATGCATTTCGTTAGAAGTCAATTCCATTAGCACATCACACTTGCAAAAAGCTTCTTTACAAGAAGAAGATCTAGCTACCATAGAACTCTGCCCTATTGATTTATTGTGGTTCTGTGATGAAGGCTTTTTCCTGAAAGCTACATTTGGCCTTATTGTAGTACAGCTGTACCAAAGTCTTATTCTTGCCATTTGGACTTTATGCGCAGAGCCATTACCGAGTCCAACTTTTAGGGCATCTTGTTAGGCAAATTGAAAGGAACACTTCAGGTTGCTGTGTGTGGTTGCTTCCTTCCTGTTTCTTTTAAGTTTCAAATGGAGGACGGCACTGTCCATGCCACACAATCTTTCTTGTGCGTCCAGGACTTGCCTGCTACTTGTGTATTTTTTTTATTAAAAAACCAGGTTCAATTGCAAGCCCAGTCAGCTTCTGCCAGTTGGAATAAGCAGCGCTGTTTCTCCCCTTAAGTGGCTACTTTAACCTAGCTTGACATGATTGTTCACAATCATGTCAATGAGGAATAACTTTATGTCACAGGAGCAAGCTTATTTTGGCAGTGGAAGTAAGTGGAAATACAACCTGCAATCCTCAAGATTAATATTGAACGTTAATTTGCAAATGTGTCTTATTTAACAGTAATTGGTGTGTACGGTATATTAGTGTATTGATATCAATCAAAAAATGACAAAGGGGAAGATATTCATATATTTAAACATCTGAATGTTAAACATCTTCCCTCTATGAGGCAGGGCAGCATATAACACATAAGCACACAACAAATAGCTAACTCCTTTAGTCAACCAGGGCAATCTGCCATGTTCGAACATCTGAGTTAATAATTCATTCATGATAGGAGCCTTTTTATTTATTATTGTTTTCTTTCACTTTAAAAACCACATTTGTAGGCTTCAATACCGTAACTGGGATTTCTAGATCATAAGCTTTACTGTTGACAAGCCTTTTATATATTTTTCTTCTCCTTCCCTATATTTATTTCAGCTGCCAGCTGAATTTCAGGAACGTGTCAGCCTCCACCTAGAAAAGCATGGATGCAGCCTCTCGGTACCTCTGTGTCATACATCATTTGCCGATAACATACCAACTTGTGTCATTGCAAAAGTCTTGGAAAAGCCTGATCCAAACAATCTTTCTCCCCACATGTCAAGCCCATCAAGCAGAGATCTTGCCTTCCAGGAATCTATTGGAAAACTTGGCCAAAGACCTCAGTACAAGTCCGACATTTACTGCAGTGATACAGCTCTTTACTGCCCTGAGGAAAGAAGGCGGGAGAGAAGGCAGAGTGTAGACATGCAAGTAAAAGGCGTTGGGTTCTTGAGGTCCCAAAATTCCACTGACAGCACAGTTGAAGAAGATGGCTTCCATTCCAGCTTCTCTCATGAAGCTTTTCCAGAATATGTTACCTCTCTACCTACTTCTAGTTCCTACTCCAGCTTTAGTGTAACGTCTGAGGAGAAGGAGAATGCCCAAGCTAGCACTTTGACAGCCTCCCAGCAAGCCATTTACCTGAGCAGCCGCGATGAGATGTTTGAAAGAAAGCCATCTTCAGGTTATGAGCAGGGGAGTCCAAGGTTTGCCAAGGCTAAATCTATTCAGCACATGGAGCTGGCAGATGACAATGAGAATTCCCCTACTTTCACTAGGACTATGTCACCTTATGCAAGCGAGCCTTATCATTTCTCGGCCATAACAACTCAACAAGCTTTAGCATCACAAAAGATGCGCAGTGAAAGCAGGAACTCCCATTTGTCAGAAGAAGATCTACCTGGACAGTGGAGACAGCTTAGTGTGGAAGATATTGGTGCATATTCTTACAGGAACAGTGGCAGACTTTCTCCCTGCAGCTTTTCAGAGCAGTATTACAGAAGTCCTATAAAGAAAGGAGACAGTCGATCAAGTCCCATTTATGCTAGTTACAAAGGTGATAGCTTCTCAGAGGGAGATGATATTTGTCAAAGTAGACTTGTGGACTCTTGCTTCCTGAGGACAGACAGTGGCCTGAATATTGACATAAGTACCAGTTGTAAGCAGGACAAATTGCCCTCTTATAAAACAAAAGAACTGAGGGACAAAAAAAGTGAAAGAATCACAGTCCAGGTGTGCAGTAGCAAAAGCATTGATGGGAGTCCTGTGTTGAAAAGAGAATACGTCGATGTTAGTCCAAACAGTTCAGCTGAGTCCCTCAACCATAGTTCTATGGAGGCTTCAGAGATCCATCAGTCTTCCATCGAGCAAGGAAGCCATTCAAGCCTCCATAGCAAACAGCAGCAATTTCAACGGACTGGAAGTACAGGCTTAAGTCGAAAGGACAGCCTCACAAAAGCACAATTGTATGGAACCCTACTTAATTGAAACATCTTCCAAAGCTGCAATAAAGAGATAGAATGAGACAGAACAGCAACTATAATGACATTTGACACGTCTAGTACCCTGTAGGTTTCTGAGAATATATATATTATATATGTATATGTATATGCATATACATGTATGTATATACACATATATACATATACACATACATATATATGTGTGCATGTATATATAGAGAGACACAGAGAGGAAACATTCACATACGAACAGTCACGGTACTGTTTTAAGCAGGAAAAATGATAAAACCTGATAAAGGGAAAGAAAAATATTACAAGACACTTTTCACATACAGTAATGACTTTTCCATCTTGGATACCAACCCTTTGCCCACTTTTATAACCTAATATATTTTTATAAACAAAATGGTATTTATTAGATTATCCTTAGTACTCTCAAGCACTTTGAGTGACATTTTTTGTCCCCTTCAAGTAAGTTTCTTATTTATTTTTTGTGCATGAGGCCACATGTGCCTAAATTCTTGGAGGGAAAGGGTTAAAAGAGAAAGAGGGAGCAAGGGAGAAAAAGAAGGGAAAAACTTTTGCAAGGACAAATCAGACCCTATAAGATTTTAAAACGTAGATTATGTGCAGTGCAAGATATACAAGAATGTGATATTATAAAGAAATCTATTTTTAAATGAAATGGAATCAAAACAAACCACAAAGTTATTTAATACATATGTATTTAGGAGAGGAAAAAAAAACTGGGGGGAAATGAATGCACAAAGCGATACAGATATTTTGGTTTGTCTGTCCCATTGTGTTTCAACTTCCCCACACTGTACACTACCTCAAAATTAATTGAGGGGTTCTTTGGTCACTTATTTTTCTGTAAGCTTGCATTTATATCGTCTCAACTGCATGGAGTGTCACAACTAGTACTGTATTTTGCATTACTTAATAAAAGGCACCAGTGAAAATGTTTTGATTTTTTTCTCATTAAAAGATGTTCTGACAGGAAGTTGTTACTGTGTATTCAATGGTTAAGCTATATACAAAACATAACGTACTTATGCTACATCAGACCAAGCCTCATGGGCTCTGATGGTAAGCAATGCCCCCCATGATATTTGTAATGAACTCAAGTGATGAATAAATGCAAAATTATAAACCAGGCAACCATGTTCATGGGTTTACTACAACTTTTCAACAACAGTACAGTACTTGGAGATGCCTACCAGTTTATATTATGCAGTTCTGTTTATGAACTCCATAATATAGTAAAATTGCACACTCAGAACAGGAATGATCATGACCAGGAATTCTGCACATTTTAATCGCAATTGATCTGGAAGATGCCTAAAGACAGCCAATAAAGGATCATATACAGGAAGTAGCTTAATATCAAGTACCTTATGAGTAAGTGAGCTCAGTATTGTCAGTATTGACTAGAGCAAAATCTCTAATATTAAGAAGGAATTTTCTTCTTGAAGAATTGGATGCATTAGGATCTGTTTCTGACCTAGAGCTCTTCAGCTGCCTCCTAAAATCTGCCACTCATCACTAATTGTTTTTTCCTGCCACCATGAAATGTATTGCTGCAGCTATTGGTCTACCTATGGATTTATGTACCATTTTGCTTCTATTTTTCAGTATCTAAGGTTTGACTAAATATCTCCTTTGTTTCCATAACCCGTGAATGTATGGTCATTGATTAAAATGAACAGCATTGGATTAAATTGGTGAAGTTCTTCAAAATTATTTTTAAAGTTGAGATTCAGTATGAGATAACAGAGAGAGTTGGATTAAGGTTTCAAGGAAATCTTGATTCAAGTAATTATTCAGCCCTGTAATCCCTTGTCGGCCTTAGGCCATTTCCTGTACCTTAGCTTAATTTATTGGGCAGAGCTAGTTTTATAATTAAATGGATGAGTATCAATTATTCAATTATACATTTTAGAACATTAATTGTTGAATTGTGTTAATGGTGAATGGTTCGTTGGAACCCTTTTGCTTAAAGGACAGGCGAAATGCTATTTTTTAAATCCAACATCCTGTTTTCAAGAGAGGCTAAACAGATCCCTCTGTTTGTTATAATTAGGACACAAATTCTGTAAACCAGGGGTCTCCAAACTTGGCTGCTTTAAGTCTTGTGGACTTCAACTCCCAGAATTCTCCAGCCAGCTATGCTGGCTGGAGAATTCTGGGAGTTGAAGTCCACAAGTCTTAAAGCGGCCAAGTTTGGAGACCTCTGCTGTAAACCTTTCCAAGCAAATTCTTCTAAAGGGAATACTACCTCTGATCACAGTAGATTCTGCAGCCATCACCTTCGATTCTGTGATACCGTTCTGTTTTGTTCTTTCATTTTTAATTAAGGCCTCTTTAAGTATCAAAAACAGTTTAAAAGATTGTGTTTTTGTGAATACAAACTCTCAAAGATCATATGCACATTAACCAGGATGGGCATATAATCTTCATTCCTTAATAATGTCTTGATTTGTGCTTATGGATAGGGTCATTGTTTCAAATTAGATACATTCTGGTAGTGGGTTCAGACATTATACTAAACCAGTGGTTCTCAACCTGTGGGTCGGGACCCCTTTGGGGGTCGAATGACCCTTTCACAGGGGTCGCCTAAGACCATCGGAAAACACATATTTTCAATAGCTTTAGGAATAATTTTATGGTTGGGGGTCACCACAACATGAGGAACTGTATTAAAGGGTCACGGCATTAGGAAGGTTGAGAACCACTGTACTAAACTATGGTTTGCTTAATTGATCTGTTGCCTTATAGACTGAATTCACAGAATATGCTAAACCATGAATCATAGCTTACTGTCCTCATGTATGGGTTCACTCAACACACTAAGTCAAAAGTGGAAAAAAATATCTTAATAAAGTGTGTAAAGTAATCATGCATATTTATAGGTATGTGGAGTGTCAACCATGTTGACACCATGGTTGACACCAAGAAGCCATGTTTCTTTTTTCAACTGCTGACCATCTAGTATGCAGTCTAATAAGAACAAAATAACAGGAAGTTTTCAAGATGAGTTGTGAATATGATCAAAGGATTTAATGTAAATGGCATACAAGGAAAGTTGAAAGAAATAGTCTACAGTAGTGTGCATGACAAAAAGTGAGTCATTTTCAAATATTTTAAAAGTACACAAAATAGCAATTAAACCCTCTTTTTTGTGTCAGGCACAGGACATCAAGCATAAAAGAATGTGGAAGGACTGATAAAAAACAGCTGTGCAAAATGTCTTTCTGTCATCTGCTGAAAAACATTGGGAAAAAGATTCCGCCTTTCTAAGGAAAGACAATTAGTACTCATTATATGAGGGGTATTATTATTTGTTCAGATGACCAAGATAAGATCTTGGTATAATTAGAAGCTGATCTATAACTGATCTATAATCTATAAATGCCAAGTGCCATTAATTCTAAACCAGTCATTTCTAAGCTTTTGCCCTAAGGCTGCTGATGGTCCCCAAGAGAACTGCAGGTAGTCTATGGGACAGGTACCAGCGTACATCTTTTTCCAATGCTGAAACCTCACAAGATAATTTAATTTAATTAAAATAAAATAGAAAGGCTGCCCTATGTTCAGACCATACATTTGGACTGTAGCCACTGATTTGGTTGATATAGATCCTTGAAAAGGCTATTCTAAAAGGACCTGTTTTTAAATAAGTATTGGCTGCCCAAAGGCTTCTGAATGAGATACAAAATATGTCATGAAACCCACGTAACACTGGTTAATCTGCCTGACAGAATGTCTTCCTTTGCATGAACCCCTCTTAAGGTTTTGTCCTTAGTGGCATGGAATGGAATCTCCTCAGACGTGGCCTGCCTCTCTCTGCCTTTAGGAAATCTGGGAGATACATCTTTGTTTGCTAAGCTCTTAGCTATACATTGGTTTACTATTATTTTTGTGTGATTTTGGGCCAATCTCTCAATCTAACCCGCCTCTCAGGGTTATTGTAAAGACAATAGGAGGAAGGAGATATGTTGGGAATATGTTCGCTACTTTGAGTTATTTGTAAAAAAATAATAAAGGCATGAGAAAAATTACATAAATAAATTAGTCACCTTCATTTAAATCAATGGTTTTCAACCTTCCTAATGCCGCGACCCTTTAATACAGTTCCTCATGTTGTGGTGACCCCCAACCATAAAATTATTCGTAAAACCATTGAAAATATATGTTTTCCGATGGTCTTAGGTGACCCCTGTGAAAGAGTCATTCGACCCCCAAAGGGGTCATGACCCACAGGTTGAGAACCACTGATTTAAATAGTAGGATAGAGTGTGACTTTAAATGAATAAGGTCGCAGAAAGTTTTATTTAAAAAAAAGCCTTCCAGACTAATGAAGCCCAGTTGATTTTAACTGGGCAACTCCAGTTTTGATTAAATCTGAATTCAGCCTGTTAGAGGCCCTGATATTTATGACTTCTCTGTGGAAGGCATTTCATCCTTGGGATGTTGCCAATGAAAGGGCCTTCCCCTGATAAGCATATTTTCACATCACTTGGGAGAAAGCCAAGATTAAACAAGGGCATATCATAAATATAAATCAAATCCTAATAGATATCTCTGATAAAGATTTAAAATCTCACATTAAATAGTAACAACTAAAGTTATTAAATGTATACAAATGTGTACAAACAGTGCTCTCTCCTTCCCTGATAAAATGCTAGTTTTATGAAAATTTCAAAATTGCAATTTAGCTCAGCTTTAAGGCATGCAGGATTGGAAATCTAAATTTAACATTTGCCTCAGTTCATGGTTATAAAACATTCTGAGTTTGCCAACTGAAGCTGTTCCTATGGCATCAATCCGGTCAAAGCTAAATTTGGCATCCCTCCTTTGAGGACAGTTTCAGCTAATCTTGCTTTTCAATCAAGATATAGATTTTATCCGATTTGTCTGTGATTCAGTTTCTTTTTGTCCTTTTGCCTTTGAAAACCTCTTCCTTAAAAAACTTGACTACTATAATGAGAATTGATTGTGAATTTGTCCGGGTCAATATTTAATTCTTGGATCAATATATTTTCAAACTGGCTACAATTTGCAAATCACTTTGTGAAAACAGCAGTCTGGATTTGTAAGGTATTTCATGGCAGAAATCAAAACTCAGTTGGTAATCCAAAATGTAATATTTGTGTGTGTGAATATATGGGTAATATTTGGGAATATATACATGCTGCAAGATGAAGGGAGAGAAAACCAAAAGGCAACTAAATATATTACAATATGAACCTTAATAGGGTTGCCAGAAAAGAATAAGTAATCTTAAAGGGTTTGTATACTCTGCAATACAAGGGACAAATACAAGAAATGAGGCTTTGCTATTAGGAAAGTTAAATTGTTACATTGAACATACCATCTAACTATATGGCTGAAATCACTGTGAGAATGAATATACACTGATTCATATCTGATTTGAGATTAATAATAAAGTAGGTTAGGCCCTGGAATAGAAACCAAATTAAATTGGACCTTGCAATGAACAATTTAAATTTAATCCAGAGTATAAATAATAAGTATGGTTCTGTCTAAGGCTGAATAAACCTGTATGTAATTGTACAATGTATGTACAATTACATACATTGTAAATTGTACTGTATGTATATGAACAAACTTTTTTTTTAATTTAACAAGAGTATAGCCTCCTATCACAAGGACATAAATTGAAAGGACTTTAAGGTGAAAGGCAATGGCATTTACTTGAGACAAAAGAAATCAGGCTGACAAAAGTGTTGCACCATCTTGATCCAAGCCCTACGCTTCTGTAGGTTTTGTGGTATCACATAATGTCTCAGAGGGGTGGAGCTTGCCATGCCACAGAGCTGCTTTTGTCATGCGCTTCCCCAGACGCATTTGGTGTACAGTTCAGAGGTCCATCTGGACTCATGAGTCTTGCTTGAAGAGCAGGTAGCAGCTGTACCTAGCCTTTGGATAAATGTACCATATGCACCAACTGAACCTATTTCTCATTACAGTCACTC